GGTTCCTGAAGGCTCTTCCCTGTTTTAGGATATCCCCGTTCCTTCGAGATCCTTGGGTTCGAAGACTGTTTCCACGCCTACTGTTCTTCCAAACGAAGTTTCTCTAGAAGATGATTCTGCAAGCAAGACCCAGGACAGGAATGTTGCCGCTGAAACGATGGATGTTGAAGGGATTAAAACCCCAGAGACAAAAGCCATGGGAGATGTGGTTAGGGAGGCTTCTACTTCTCAGGAAGTTGGAGCTTCCTCTACTTTTCCTCCCGCAGACAGCCCCGACAAAATTGCTGATCCTGCTCCTAAGTTGCCCACTGTTGATGAAAATTGATGTTGAAAGGATTGGAACTTTTTTGCTTTTCTGTTTTGATGTATTGTGGTTCGGTCTCCATGACGACCTTTCTTTCTGCACTTGCCAAGATAATTTTTTTTTTCTTTGCTGCTGGTTATGAGGCCATCTGTGCCTTTGGATGATAGAATTTTCTCTTTGAACTTGCAATCTGATGCTATTTGGCTTTTATGTCTGAATGTTTTCTATACTACCTGCCCCTGACCGAGTACTATTGGGACCTTAGGGCCGAATAGAGCTCGGTCTACCTCTGTACTGCTTTTAAATAGATGCTTCATCTGATTTTGTATTACTTGCCCCCGGCCGAGCATTGTTGGGGCCTCGGGGCCGAACTGATGCTCGGTGTGACGTTGGACCGTTTGCCCCCAGCCGAGCACTATTGGGACCTCGGGACCGAACTGATGCTTGGTGTGGCTAACGAATATGTGGTATGGATGTGCTTGAGTTTGTAAGTGGGTCTTACTTAGGTCCAAGTTGGTTTTGAAAAACAATTATTTGCCCCCACCTGGAGCTAAGTAAAATCGGCACTGAAGGTTGTGCTCTATAGGTAGTGCTGGTTAAGTCTGTTGCAACTTTGATAGCATAAGGGCATTTGAATGCGATAAAGGCATGAAAAGGTGTCTTACTCAGGTCCAGGTTGGTTTTGAGAAACAATTGTTTGCCCCCACCTGGAGTTGAGTAAGACTAATGCTGGAAGTTTACTCTTGATAGAACCTGGTCATGCTTGTTCCAATGCTGCTTGTTTGAGTTAGTACTAAAGTGTCGACGTGTTGGTACTTAAGAGGTTCTGTAGATGCAAAGATGTTTACTTAAGATATGTTAGTACGGTTTCCACCAAGCAATTCCACTTGGCTAAAGTCCAATTCAGTTGCCAAACATTATTCCACCAAGCAATACCACTTAGCATGTTTGAGTGCTAACCAAATTTATATTCCGTCCAGTCGTCCTGAAACTAAATCCATTTGGGCAAAGACCAAAGTTAATTCCATTTGATAAACATCAAAGCTAATTCCGTTTGGTGAGGACCAAAGCTAATTCCGTTTGGTAAGAATCAAACCTAATTCCGTTTGATGAACATCAAAGCTAATTCCGTTTGGTAAGAACCAAAGCTAATTTCGTTTGATAAACATCAAAGCTAATTCCGTTTGTTAAGAACCAAAGCTAATTCCGTTTGATAAACATCAAAGCTAATTCTGTTTGGTAAAGACCAAAGCTAATTACAAGAATTTGATAAATTTGAGAAAAGTGGGGAAGTATTTGCATTGGTCAACAGATAAATGCTTTTACATTCTGATAGAGAAGTTGGGGGATAATTCTACTGATAGTATTTCTTGAGATTTGCTACGTTCCAGGGCCGAGGTATAGCTCTGCCATTCAGATCCTCTAGGTAGTAAGCTCCGTTTCCAACAACGACTGTGACTTTGTAGGGACCTTCCCAGTTAGGCCTAAGTTTGCCCTCGCCAGGCACCCGTTTGTGAGCCATAACTTTCCTCAAAACCAGTTCTCCAGGTGTAAATTGCCTTGGGAAAGCTTTTTGATTGAAACTTCTGATGAGCTGCTGCTGATACGCTTCAAGTCTGATCAGCGCTGCTTCTCTTCGGCCCTCTGCCATATTCAATGCTTGTGCAATAGCTTCCTCGTTACTACAGCTTTCAAATAATTCAGACTGAAGGGTTGGGAGACCTACTTCAAGTGGGATGATGGCCTCCATTCCATAAGTTAGGGAGTAAGGTGTTTCCCCCGTTGAACGTCGTGTTGTGGTTCGGTAGGCCCATAATACGTGAGGTAACTCTTCAACCCATTTGCCTTTTGCATGTTCAAGCCGCTTCTTTACTCCGTTGATGATGGTTTTGTTTGACGCTTCTGCCTGTCCGTTACTCTGCGGGTACCCTGGAGAAGAGTTCCTATAGTCGATTCTGAGGTCGGCACAGAACTTGCTGAAGACCTTACCATCGAACTGTGTTCCATTGTCCACAATCAGTACTTGCGGAATACCGAAACGCACCACCACATTCTTCAAAACAAACCGCTTCGTGTCTGCCTCTTTGATACTTGCCAGCGCCTCAACTTCAACCCACTTAGTGAAATATCGGTTGCAGCAATGAAGAATCGCCTGTTCCTAGTGCCTCACGCCAATCGTCCGACAATATCCAGTCCCCATTGCACAAAGGGCCATGGGCTAGTATGTGGAGTGAGAGTTTTGGCCGGTTGATGAATGAGTGGAGCAAACCTCTGACATTTGTTGCACTTCTTTCCGTACCGCTACGCATCTTGTTGCATCTGTGGCCACCAGTACCCGTGAGTGAGGGCTCGGTGTGCCAGTGACCTTTCGCCAACGTGGCATCCATAAATCCCATCATGAATTTCGTAGAGAACATTCTCGACAAGATTTGGATATACACATAGGAGGTAGGGGCCAAGATAGGAGTGTCTGTAAAGCTTCCCATATGGTGAGATCCAGAACCGAGCTGACTTGTGTCTGACCTTGTTGGCTTCCCTTTTGTCTTCGGGGAGTGTACCAGATTTCAGAAAAGCAAATATCGAATCCATCCAGCTCGGCTCTAAGTTGCTGCAGAGGACTGGAGATGCAATACTTGGTTCTGGTACAAACTTAACCCAAACTTTTCTGGCATCCTTTGTATCCACTGATGAGCCAAGGCATGCCAAAGCATCAGCGTGATTGCTTTTGTTCTGACTGATTCGTTCCACCCGTATGGATTGAAATTTTCTGAGTAGGTCATTCGCCTTGCCTGAGCACATAGCCATTCTTTCATCTCGTGTCTCATAGATCCCAGAAAGCTGGTTTACCACTATTTGTGAATCGCTGAAAACAAGAAGCTGTTCTGCACTGAAGTGTTTAACGCTATGCAATCCAGCCAATAACGTTTCGTACTCGGCCTCGTTGTTGGAAGCCTTCCAACCGAGCCTGAGAGCCAGTTCCCAGATGAACCCTTCTGGTGAAATAAGTACTACTCCTGCCCTCGAGCCTCGGTTATTGGACGATCCATCAACATAAAGCTGCCAGATGTTTCCAATAAATAGTTTCCAAGCTTTTGAAGCGCAGGGTTTCCCTTGTTCGGTAGTGCATGGCACCTGTGCCGAACTCGGATCCCCCGGTTCGGTACTCTGGGTGGAAGTAAATTCTGCGCCAAAATCCGCTAAGACCTGGGCCTTGATCACTGTCCTGGGTTGATATCGAATGTCAAACTCACCAAGCTCTACTGCCCATTTTACTGTTTGGCCTGAGAAATCGGCTCTGCTGAACACAGATATGAGGGGGAATTCGGTGAGGACGTTAATGGTATGCCCCTGGAAGTAATGCTGCAGCTTTCTTGAGGCGATAAGCAGCGCGTATGCTAACTTTTCCAACGGCAGATACCGTGTCTCGGCGTCTAGTAAAGTCTTGCTGACATAATAGACAGGCCTATGTTCCTTGTCAACTTCTCGAATTAATACTGCGCTCACAGCGTGATCCGAGACCGCTAGATAGAGGTATAACTCCTCTTCTTGTTCTGGAGTGGACAGTAGAGGAGGTGTACTGAGGTATCTTTTGAGGCTTTGCAGTGCTTCGGTACATTCGTTATTCCATTCGAATGCTGCTTTTTTCCTTAAAATCTAGAAGAAGGGATGCATTCGATCTGAGGATTTGCTAATAAACCGATTCAATGCGGCCGCCATTCCGGCCAGCTTCAGCAGCTCTTTAGCCTTTGTTGGTACTTCAAGATCTCGTATCGCTCTGATCTAGTCCGGATTCGCTTCAATTCCTCTATGAGTGACCATGTAACCCAAGAACATCTCTGTTCCTACCCTGAAAGCACATTTCGAGGCATTGAGGTGAAGCTGGTGGTTTTTTAGGATGCCAAAAACTTTTCTCAAGTCCGTGAGATGGTTTGCAGTGAGCTTGCTTTTTACTACCATATCGTTTATATATGCTTCCATGGTTTTTCCCAGTTGATCCTTGAACATCCGTGTAATCATTCACTGGTAGGTTACCTCGGCGTTCTTGAGGCCGAATGGCATTACTTTGTAGCAGTAAGTTCCCCTTGGAGTGATAAACGCTGTCTTTTCTTGATCCGAACCGAACAGTGGTATCCGATGATAGCCGCTATAAGCGTCCAGAAAGCTCATGCGCTCATGCCCTGCCGTTGAGTCTACTAGTTGATCAATGCGAGGCAGCAGAAAGCTATCTTTAGGGTAGGCTTTTTTCAAGCAAGTGAAGTCAACACAAACTCTTCATTTTTCATTCTTCTTCTTGACTACAACTGTGTTGGACAGCCATTGCGGGTATTGAACTTCCCTGATTTCTCTTGAAGCCAGGAGTTTTTCGACTTCGGAAATTACTACTTTGGTGTGCTCGACTGATGATCTCCGACTTTCTACACAATGGGCCAAGCTGAAGGGTTGATGTTGAGCTTATGGAAAGCAAATTCTGGGTCCAACCCTGGAGTATCATATGCTGACCATGCGAATACCTCCATATTCTCCCTCAGCAATTCCAGCAGCTGAAGTTTCTCATCAGCGCCTAGCAAGGTACCAATAAGGAAGTACTTTTCTAGGTCGTCCCCTTTTACCAAGACTTTTTCCAAATCCTCTGCCATCTTTTCCCTGGGGTTCCCCCTACATCTTCCAAGACTGGCCGTTCAGCCACTTCTACCGTCTATACCCGATTACAGAGCTGCTTTGCCTTCAATGCTGCCATAAAGCAATGTTTGGACGCAACTTGATCCCTTGAGATCTGCTCTACTCCGTGTTCCGTTGGGAAACGGATGAGCTGGTGGTAGGTTGAAGGGACTGCCTCCATTTGATGAATCCACAGACGGCCAAGTATGACGTTGTAAGGGGATGGTGTATTAACAACTAAGAACTCTATCTGGAGGGGTTTTGTTCCCGCTACGACTGGCAACACTATTCTGCCAAGCAGCCATTCTGGCTGTGAATTGAAACCGACCAACGGGGCTGCCGCTGGGGTGAGGTGCTGCTCGGAGAGACCAAGCTTTCTGAACAAATCATAATACAAAATATCTGCTGCACTACCTTGATCTACCAAGACTCGTTTTACATCAAACCGTTTCTCAATTCCCACAGTTATAATTAATACATCAGTATGTGGGTGCTGTATGCCTTCTAAATCTTTGCTAGTAAATGAAACAGTGCACAAGGGGGATTTAGGTACTGTACGTACCTTTTTTGATGCAGGCTCCACTGACATGACCTGCTGAATTTGTGCAGCCTTAGCGATCTCTTCCTTCAGTGCCTCCTCAGACTCCTGAGTCGCTGTCCCATGGATCATATTTATTATTAGCCGAGGTGGATGCTCAATGTTTGGTTCTGGCGGTGGGTTCCCCAGTTCGGCCACTTCCTTATCCTGATCAATGTAATCCCTTAGGTGCCCAGCTGCTACTAGATCTTCCAAGTGTTGTTTCAATGCCCTGCAGTTCTGAGTCATGTGCCCCTGTCTTGGTGGTAGGTGCATCTGAGCTTTTGATTGTGCTGAGCTGGATCTCCCAACATTTTCGGTGGCCAAACGAAGAAGGGCTCTCTCTTGATCTTTTCCAGGATTCGATAGATCGGCTCTTTGAATACAGTTACAACATCTTCGTGGGATTTGGACTTATCCACTTTATTCACTGTAATCCCTCGGTGTTCTCCTTGGTCTGATCTCTTCTTATGCCGAGCTATTTGTTCTGTTGACGCTACCTCGATAGGGATCTGATCGTCTTCGAGGCGTGCATACTGCTCAATCCTGGCACGCAAATCTTTCAAAGCTGTGGCCGGGCGCTTGGTAAGTGACTGTCTCAGCTTACTTTCCAAGCGCAGACCATATTTGAAGGACATGACGGTCATCTGCTCACTGCACACATTTTCCTCCAGGTCATTGTATTCTTCCCAATACCTCCTAGTATAATTGCACAACGTTTCCTCCTGCTCCTTTCGGAGGCCGAACAATTTATCCGGCTCCTTCGAGATCTTAGTGTTGGAGACGAACCTGGCTAGGAACTCTTCAGAGAGCTGCTTCTAGCCATGGATCGATCCAGCTGGGAGACGGTCGAACCATCGAAGTCCGGTTTCTCCCAAGCTGGATGGGAAGACTTTACACATCAGTGCCTCGTCTCGGTTCCATAGGGACATCATCTGTCTATAGTGGCTAATATGTGTCAGCGGGTTCAACTTCCCGTCGTATGAAGTGAACTTTGGCGAGGTGAATTTCTTTAGAGGTCTTATGGTCTCGATCTCCGGGGAGAATGGCGAAGAGACGAGCCTGTCTACCGCTCGGTGTTCCCTCTGGTGAATAGTACGGTCCAGATGATCCCGATGTTGTTCATTCTGCCTATTGCCAATCAACCAAGTGCGAAGGTCCTGAGGAGGGTATTCGATCTGTTGACTAACGGTCTTCTGCCTCTTGGCCTTTTCCGGCGTGACCCACGGGTGTGACTGCTTGCTACCTCACTCTGTACCAGGATAGGCTGGCTTTGTTGCCCAGACTCATTCCTTGGGAACTTCTTCACTGGTGGCTCTCTGGATGAGCTCCTTCGTCGCAAACGAGAGGGCTCCGCTTCCGTCTTCTTTTTCATTGGATCACCTAGCACCCTCCTAAGTTGGGCTTTTAACTCCTATATCTCCATTCCGATAGAGTCTATGATTCGATCTCTATAATCCTTTCCAGAAGAAAGTGATGAGAAGAACCTCCAGCGAAGGGTAATCGATGCTCGATGGATTCAGGAGTTCGATTATTGTTTCCAGTTTGTTCCTCTGGAACTGTTGGGAGGGCCACACCTTTGTCCTTCGTTTTCTCAGTCTGTGGGGTATGTATCGAAGGCGGAATGTCCTCAATCCCCATCCCCGGAACTGAGTGCAGAGCTCAGAGATGAAGTGGTCTACGTTCACCGCACCAAATGTGCGTACCGGATTCCGCACTAGATGAAAGTGGATCGGGCTTCGCACTCGGTTGGACTATCTAGGGATTGAGATTCCTACCACAAGAAGCACCGTTAGAGTTGCCCGGCCGGGGTTGGCCGGATAACCCCTCCAGTGTGGGAATTAGTGATCGGAGAGAATGTATATCGAGTTGAGCTTATAGTTGTACTTGGAATTGTTCAGTTACCTTCCATGTGAAGTTCATGTTGTACATATATAGTTCCTTGCTTGCTTCTCAAGGTTCATGGAGCTTGGATGCTGCCGGGTGTCCTTTTAGCATTGCTCATGGTAAGGGACCACTTGGTAGTTGTCATTGAATGCATACACTCATTGTAGTCATGCTGATAACAAACCACATTCCTTTGGTTCAACAACTTCCGTGATTCTAGGTGTAGGGGACCAGCTGAGGTGGCAACTTGCACGTGCACACGTTCACAATTTTCGCGTTTCCTTGCGAGGTTTCCTCAGCTCGGTACGGATGTTCGTCAACTCGGCATCATTATGACTTGTCTTGGCCTTTTACAAGATCAGTCATGGAGATGGACTGGTCCATTCATGTATCTTTGCATGGGCTCGGCCTGTCATCTGTTCGGCCCATAGACCCAGTCTCGTAGCTCGGCCCAGCCCAGTACCACGGCTGGACTAGCCTTTCCACTGCGGGTTGGGCCCAAGTGCTTGAGGACTTGGGTGGTCTGTTGACCATGAAGTTGGGCTTAATTGGTCTACGTATATGCTCATCCAGCCCGCTTGGATCTGAACTTTAGCGAATTGGGCCGGCCCAAGGCTTAGACCCGACCCATTTCACATTTAGCCCCTTCATCATTATAGAATTATTTACACTTTATATCTTTTTATAAAAAAACTCACTGTCCCATTACGTTGTAATTCTCTCATTGTTAATCCCGTATTTAAGTTTCTCAATTCTACTCCACGAGATAAAATGGAGAATTAAAAATTTTAAAAAAGACAAAAATAAATAAAATAATAATAATGGGTTTTTGGACTTATTTTGTTTTTTTTTTAATTTTTGAAAATTTTCCAAAGGGTTTAATTTTCTAGTTGGTCTCGTCAAAATAGACTGGAATAATAAAAAAATTTAACATAATTTTGAAAAAAAAAATACTAAAATTTAAAAAAAAAAATTGAAATAAGATATGGCTTTTTTATTTGTTCCTAGCCAGAAGTAATTGAAAGTGAAGAACATGTGAATCCCACTGAATAATCCAGTATTTGATTTGCATGATACCAAACACGAGACAATTTTAATACTAATATAGAGAATTAAATAATAATATAAGTAGTGTGGTATTAGATGAATAAGACTTCTCCATATTATTTTTTTATTCATCTAATGATAAAAAATAATTATTTTACTTTTTGTTCATGCTAACCCAATATAATATCTAACAATTCGATTCAATTATTTTACCCATCTCTTATTTCATGCTATGATTTATTCTTTATAATTTTATTATATGTTCAATCATTCATCTCGTTTAATTTTATGGTATAATTTATTTTTTTTAAATCTTATTAATAATCTCGCCATATATCTAATATTCTTCATAATAATAATCTAACAATGATCAATATTACAAGCAAGGGGTGTGGCAGTAGGAATGGCAACGGGGGCGGGCGGGGCCAAGGATTACATTTCCCGTCCCTGATCCCCGATGGTAAAATTTTTCCCGTCCTCGGCCCCGATCCCCGACGCGGAACCTATCATCGCCCCCGTCCCCGCCTCCTAACAGGGATTGGGTTTCCCCGGCCCCGAAATTTCCCAGACCAAAAAAGAAAAAAAAAAAAAAACAAAAGAAAAAAAAAAAAACAAATAGAGAGGGCGAGAGATTAACAACATCATCAACATAACAAACAACATTATCAACATCATCAACAACATCAAACAATATCAGAAGGAGAGATCTGAGTAGAGAGAGAGAGAGAGAGAGAGAAAGAGAGATCTGTTCGTTACTCGTCATCGTCGGTGGCGTCGATTCAGGACGTCAATCTGCTCGTCGCCTCGTTGTCCTCACATCTTTCTGCTCGTCATCGTCGGAGGTGGCGCTCATCGTCGTCTTCATAGTCGGAGGTGGCGTCGTCAGAGACGGACCGTCGTCGTAGTCGAAGGTGGCATCTCAGACGGTGAGGAAAAGAGAGGGAGCGAGAGTAGAAGAAAGAGAGAGAGAGAGAGAGAGAGAGAGAGAGAGAGAGAGAGTAGCTATGAAATGAAATAAAAAGATAAAAATGAGAGATGAAATGAGAGAGACGGAAACAAATAATTAAAAAAATATTATATATATATCAGTTGGGGGGACATACAAGGCGAGCCGGGGCCAGGGCTTGGGCACTTATCATCGTTCCCAACCCGAAATTGATTGGGGATTGATTTTTGAATACCATCCCCGTCTCGTCGAGGGTATTTTTCAAGGAAAACCCGTTCAAATTGGGGTCGAGGGATCGGGTCCCCGTCGGGTCGGTTTCAAATTGTCATCCCTATGTGGTGGTTGGGGGTAAGGGGTGGTAACTATGGGTGTTTGTTTAGACACCCCATTTTTGACCGACCTTAAGACTCAGATGTCACCGATTGAGCGCTCAGTGATGATGTATATTGTGCTCGTTCTGAGCTTGCGGAGTCTCGGCTGAGAGCCTTGCCTCCAGACTTCGGGGCTCTTTAGTGCTTTGTCTCGGTTTGCGAACCAGGTCTTGTTTTCTCTTCCCGAAGGGAGGGAGAGGTCTCGTAGACCATCTCTCAGTGGTCATAGGCTACGTTTCGTGATCGTAGGCCATTTTTTCCGTTTGGAGATCAATTTCCAGTTTTCGGAGCCGTCGGTCGCGCGCCTCGGTTCGAGATCGCTTAACTACCTCCGTTTGCTCCGGTTTTTGGAACACACCTTTTTTCCTCTACCTAGAGGGACACTGTGGCCCGGGAGACCACCTTCGTGGTCACACGCCACTTCCGGTGCTTGACAGCTAGTTTTCGGGGCCCCCGGCTGCGCATTTTGGCCCCCGAACCCTCGTTTTGCATCGGTCAGGGTTCATTTTTGGCATGGACCCTATTTTCATTGTTAGAAAGGTGGTAGTATGGTGGGAGACCACTTTTTCTCCTTGGAAACTAGCTTTCTCCTTGGAGACCACTTTTCTCTCTCTTCCAGCCAGTTTTCTTGTCAGGAAACTGGTCTCCCTCACTTTTAGGCCATAATTTCTGGTCTCCCATACCACCATTGTATTGCATTCATCTGGGAGACCACCTATTTGGTATGGCCGACCACCTTTGGTGATTGACCCTTTTGAACCTTCTTTGAAAGCTGGTTTTCTTTACTTTTGAGCCACATTTTCTAGTCTCCCATACCACCACTGTGTTGCACTCATTTGGGAGGCCACCAATCTGGTATGGCCGACCACCTTTTCAACTTGACCCTTTTGACCCCTGGTCGGCCTACCAGGGGGAGTGGTCAGCCGACCACCTTGGCTGGTCGGCCAGCCTTCTGCTTTTTGGTCTTTTTGAGTACATTACAGCTCTGCCAGCTGGGAGGCATTTGCCGCATCCTTTGAGATTTGACCCTTTTGCTTGTTTTCTTAAAGAAGATTTGGCCCTTTTTGCTTAGCTTCTAAGGGAAGCTTGACCTTTTGTCAAGCTTCTCGGAAGCTTGACCCCTTTGGTCTAGCTTCCTTAAGAAGCTTGACCCTTTTGATTTAGCTTCTTTTAGAAGCTTGCACCCTTTACTTGAGGCTTCTCCAAGAAGCCTTGGCCCTTTGTCTTCTATAAGAGAGGATTTCCTCTCCATTTGCAAAGGTAGAAAATTTTTGACTGAGGCTTATACACTTCTCTCTCCATAGCTCCCTTCTTCAAGCTCCAAACCCCATTATTCTTGCACCCATTACACTACACCTCCTAGCACAACACCTCCACCATCCATCCAAGCAACTTGGAACTGATTTTCAGAGGTTGAAGGCTCATTACCTTGGTCCAGAAGTTGCTGAGGGTCGGCTGTACAAGGGTAAGCCTCTATTTTTCCCTTTTTTGCATTATTTTGCTTCATGTATTAGCCCTATTTGCAAGCATTTTTGGGTTTCGACATAAACTAAAAAAAATTTTCTTTTAAGCTTATAAACATGTTCGGTTAAGGTGATTTTTCTGTTGGGGGCCATCTACCCCCTTCCATGCTTCATTTCCTCATGTTTTGAGCTATGCATTTGAGCATTTGCATTGGCCTTGGTTTGGCCTTTTAGCCACTGAAATCCAGTGGATTTTCAGTGGCTAACATGTTTCTTTGAGCTTCAAAATCATAAAGGGGTGACCCTTTCACCCCTTGTTCTCTTTACTAGCTTTGTTGGCCTTCCGAAGGGCCCCTTTTTTGCATGTTTTGAAGTCATGTTTCAGACCCTATTTGGTGAGTTTTAAGGTCTATATAAGCTCTGTCCAGAGCCCTTTTGGCCATTTTGAATGTCTATTATGCATATGTAGAACAATCCTATTCAAGGTCTTTCAAAGGGACTTTCACTTGCATGCTTCCTAGACTAATTTCAGGGCCTTTTTGGTGGGTTTTAGGACCCTCATAACCTCTGTCCAGAGGTGTTTTTGCCATTTTGTGTGTCCATCATACATGTGTAGAATAACCTCTTGCATGGCCTTTCAAAGGAGCACTTCATTCTTGCA